CCCTGGGTAGAGTGCTGTGGCATCACAGCTCACAGCAACCTCCAACTCCTGGGCTCAAGTAAGTCTCCTGTCTCAGCCTCCCAAGTAGCTGGTATCACAGGCTCCCGCCACAACGCCCGGCTATTTTTTTGGTTGTCACTGTCATTGTTGTTTGATGGGCCTGGGCTGGATTCAAACTCGCCATCTTAGGTGTATGTGGCTGGCACCTTAGCCACTTGAGCCACAGGCGCCGAGCCTATTTTTTGTTGCAGTTGTCATTATTGTTTAGCAGGCCCAGGTTGAGTTCGAACCTGCCACCCTCAGCGTATGTGGCTGGTGCCATAACGACCATGCTATAGGTGCTGAGCCCCTGCGCCCAATCCTATCTTCTCCTCCTGAGGGCAGCCATGGTGGGGGTTCAGCTGCTACCACCTCTGTTTCCTCAATAGCAAGTGCATTTGAGGTCTGGGTATCAACAGTGCACACAGGATGGTAAGGATAGCACCCAGCATGTGCCCTCGGCTCTTGAGCAGGCCTCATGTGAAGGCACCTTGAACACATCAGTAGAGATGACAGTGCAGCCAACTTGAGCCTTGCCCTGGCTCCACCATTCACTTAGTGAGTCCTTCGGAAAGCTGGTGATGTTCATCTAAGCCAGTTGTGCCAAGCTCTAAGGGCTCCACAGGTGGCTGCATATCCCTGGGTGCCATTCAGGCAGGGACCAGGCTAGAACCTGGGTACTCCTCTAAAGTGCTCTCCCTGCCCCAGGACCCATTGGGCCCATGAAGAAGGTGCTGGTTGACAATCCCAAGAACCGGATGCTACTCATTGAGAACCTTCGCGAGTCCCAGCCATACCGTTACACAGTGAAAGCGAGAAATGGGGCTGGCTGGGGACCCGAGCGGGAGGCCATCATCAACCTGGCCACCCAGCCCAAGCGACCCATGTCCAGTGAGTGGGGGCAAGAAGGTGAAGGGTGGATGGTGGGGGTAGGCAAGGGGCCATAGCTGGGTTGCAGCTCACCTCTTCCTACCCTGCAGTTCCCATCATCCCCGACATCCCTATTGTGGACGCCCAGGGTGGGGAGGACTACGAGAACTTCCTCATGTACAGTGATGATGTCCTGCGCTCTCCAGCCAGCAGCCAGAGGCCCAGCGTCTCCGATGACACTGGTGAGTGGGCCCTGGGTTCAGAAGAGGAAGGTGGGAGTCTTGGGTACATGGTGGGCTGCCACTGGCATCCAAAGACAGCAAAGGAACCAATGATTACAGAGCATGTAGGTCAAGACTAGAAATCCTCTCTCAGCCTCAGACAAGTGCACTAGTGTGCACTTCTGTGTCCATCATGCAAAGACACATGGGTTCATGCACAGGAGACCACACAAACACAGCTCTGCAACTTGAAGGTTTACCAGCTAGGCCATGGAGTCAGGACACTGAGGCCACCTCAAAAGGCCAGGCTTGGCCCAGGATCCCTGAGCAGCCACCTGGCAGGGGTCATGGGAGCACCAAGGCAATAACTCCTGGCATAACGTGGCTCAAAGAGCTCTCAACTCTGCTGTGAGGCATCAGATAAATGGCTTACCTTCCCTGGGTCTCAGTTTTCTAATCTCTAATCACACAATGCCATGAGTGGAAAATCCTCCCGTCCCATGCCTCAAGGCCCCCCCCCCCCCGGGCACACACACTTGCCCCCACAGGCCTTAGTGTTAATGAAAGAGCATCTGGTAGGAATCAGGAGCCCTAGCTCAGCTGCCACCGAGCTCTGAACACTAACTTCGGAGCACTCTGTGGCTTCTGGAACTTCCTCTGGGAGGCAGTCAGAGGGGAGACTGCGCTCCCCCTTGTAAAGACAGGAAACTGACACAGCGGTTAGTAACATAGGACAGACTACACTGCTGGTGACCGCGCCCTGGCTCTGCGGGCCTTCTGGCTAATCCAGAGCTGCAGTGGCTCTCACGGAAGTGCTCCAGCAGGACAGGGTCCCACTTGTCGCTGGGCTTCCCCGTCCACAACGCGCACGCCGGAGCGCCGGGAGTACGGGCCTCCCCTCGCTGCGCCGCCGGCCTCCACCTGCCCGGCCCTGCTGCCCCGGGCACCCCCTGGCGGTGCCAACGCGGCCCTTCGTTGTTCCCAAGGCGGCAGCTGGAAGTTCGAGCCCCTACTGGGGGAGGAGCTGGACCTGCGGCGCGTCACGTGGCGGCTGCCTCCGGAGCTCATCCCGCGCCTGTCGGCCAGCAGCGGGCGCTCTTCTGACGCCGCCGAGGCGCCCCTCGGGCCCCCGGATGACGGCGCCCATCCGGGCGCGGGGAACACGGGCGGAGAGGGCGGCAGCCTGCCTCGCAGTGCGACGCCCAGGCCCCCCGGAGGTGACAGGCTAACCCGCCGCTTCCAGATCCCACACCGGAGGATCACTTGTGCCCGCCGGCTGGACGCCTGCGGTGCCTCTGGGACTCATTTTCAGCCTGGCGCCCTGTGTTGGTGTCTTGCCCGGCCAGGGACATGCAGCTGCAGAGGCGGGCTTGCTAAGAAACCCCCAGGGCAGGAGCTTGGGCTCTTCTCCAGCCAGAACTGCCTCCACAGGCAGTGACCCCCATGACAGTGTCTATCGAGCCTCAGACATGCAAATTGAGAAGTCGGTTTGGGTAGGGAGTCGTCCCTGGTACCTAAGTAGACTCTTCAAGGGCCCCAAAGGGCCAGTGGGAAAGCTCTGGCTCCTTCCTAGGGCAGGGCTGACTGCAGGGGCTGTAAGTTGCCCAATTGGAGTCAGCTGTACTCAAGACTGTCCATACTGGCAAGCCAGGAGATTTGGGGCTTCTGCCCCCAGTGTTTTGAGGGAGAGTGGTTACATTTACACAGCAGCCCCCAAAGGGTAATCAATCCCAGGAACTCCCAGGACCACCGCCTGCCTCCAGGGGCCAGGTCAGGTGCAGTCTTAACAGTGATGACCCTGCTCTCCCCCTGCAGAGCACCTGGTGAACGGCCGGATGGACTTTGCCTTCCCAGGCAGTGCCAACTCCTTGCACAGGATGACCGTAGCCAACACAGCCTATGGCACCCACCTAAGCCCACATCTGCCCCACCGAGGGCTGAGCACATCCTCCACCCTTACTCGGGACTACCACTCACTGACGCGCACGGAACACTCACACTCAGCCTCGCTGCCCAGGGACTACTCCACCCTCACCTCCCTCTCCTCCCATGGTAAGTAACTTTCACCAGGCTGCTGTCTCCCAGCTCCGGGGGTGCAGGCAGCCTGCCACCCCCAGGGCCTGTCCTCCAAACACACACCCCCTGCTCCTCTCACTCTCATTTTGTCCTGCCCTAGGCCTCCCTCCCATCTGGGAACATGGGAGGAGCAGGCTTCCGCTGTCCTGGGCCCTGGGGCCCCGGAGTCGGGCTCAGATGAAGGGGTCCCCTCGCTCCGGGGGCTCACGAGATTCTATAATCCTGGCAGGGCAGCCAGCAGCGCCTTCATGGGGCCCAGGTAGTACAGGGGTGGCCCTGCTGTCTTCACGGCTGTCCTGCTCCATGTCATCCAGCCACCACAACAGATACTGCCTGTACCTACTGCTTCACCCTCCATTCCATCCACAGGACCCTTGCTCACCCCAGGAGCTAACTCCCGGCCTACTCTCATCAGTGCTAGTGCCTAACATTCTCTCTATCCTTCCTGGGGGTGGATGGGGACAGGAGGGAGCCAGGCCAGCTGAGGGGAGGGGCATGGGGGCTGGCAGTCTCACAGGGCCCACACTCCAAGGATGTGTGGGAGATACTGGGCATCCTGGACTGGGTGAGCGAGCTGCCTAGCCAGTTAGACATATAAGCTGAGAGGGAGACCACAGGGCTACACTGTGACTCCTTTCTGAGACTCCAGTCCCTGCCTCAGACTGACTGTGGCCTCCTGTCTCCAGACTCCCGGCTGATTTCTGGTGTGCCTGACACACCCACCCGCCTGGTGTTCTCCGCCCTGGGGCCCACATCTCTGAAAGTGAGCTGGCAGGAGCCGCAGTGTGACCACACTCTGCAGGGCTACAGCGTGGAGTACCAGCTATTGAATGGCGGTGAGACATGGCTGCTACCAGGGGAATAGCCCTACAAGGCTGGCCTTAGGGTGATACACAGGGGGGCACCTCGCCTGTCAGGTGCCCTGGACGCCAACACCTCTACCAGCCTTTCTGAGTCTTTCACCCTACCCTCTCACCTCCCCTCTCCTTAGGCCTCATCCACCTCCCTAGAGCTCTCTCCTGGTCATTTCCTCTGCTAAGTTTTGTCTAACAAGGCCTCCTAGACCCAGGGCCTCTGCTGGCCTGATGGGCCTTGATGATTAACTGGGATAAGGCACTTCTCTGGGCAGACATACTGGCTGCATGACCCGGGCCCCTGACCAGGGCATAGGATTTGGCCAGAACATAGATAGAATTGCAGGCCTGCAGGCTCTATGCACCTTTTTCTTTTTTTTTTTTTAGAGACAGAGTCTCACTTTATTGCTCTTGGTAGAGTGTTGTGGTGTCACAGCTCACAACAACCTCCAACTCCTGGGCTTAGGAGATTCTCTAGCCTCGGTCTCCCAAGTAGCTGGGACTACAGGCGCCCACCACAATGTGCACCTCTTTTTTTTTTTTTTATTGAGACAGTCTCACTTTGTCACCCTCAGTGGAGTGCCATGGCGTCATAGCTTATAGCAACCTCAAACTCCTGGACTCAAGTGATTCTCTTTCCTCAGCCTCCCAAGTAGCTAGGACTACAGGCACTCGTCACAGTGTC